GAAAAATAGACAACCATTCATAGGGAACTGGTTAAATAAAACTTTTGATGAAATTATAAGCAATTGTTGAGAAAGAAGTAGAGTTGTATAACATAATAGTGGGAAAGGTAGTCTACAAAACACTTCTATTATAAATCTATTTTGCGTTAAAAAGGTAACAAGTTGAGTCTCCATTATCCAAAACAACAGCAAAATATAAATGTTCAGTTCTCCAGCCATAAGACCATTGTCAGCTTCCTTACCACAAAGCTAACTGACTGGAGAAGGATGCTAGTAACCATAATCTAACAAAAACAACAAAACATCTTTATTCTCCTATAAATAGAGAATGTTACAGGCCTGCTGCCCAAGCAACATGATCCTAACCCTTCTCCTTTGCTGTTCTATCTGAAGTAGCAATGCATCACAGACCTGGTTAAGGGAATACAAGGGAAGATTGCAGCAACAGATTCTGGGGACACTTTTACTCAAAACAAGAGCTCAGAGATATGGCTGGCACCATTCTTTCCTCCTCTTCCTGTCTCAAGCAGATGTCAGCTCTAGCATTACTGATTGTGGTAAGAACCCAGACTGATTTGCTCTGCAATCACTTCCTATGCTTCTTAGGAATCCAATATCAAATGATTCTTAATGGTAGCACTTGCTCTCAAACACTTATTTGTTTGTTTTAGTTTAAGATGAGGGTCTCGCTGTAAGGGACAGACTGGCCTTAAATTCTTGATCTTTCTGGTTCAACTTCCTAAGAGCTAGGATAATGGGTAAGTACCACCATGCCTTGACTTTTCAAATAATTTGTAAGTGTATCATGTAATACATCATCAAAAATGATAAGTATAGAAAAGGTTCTGAAAAATAAAGAACCTCTGAAGTACTAGATAATAAAAGAAAAATCCAGGGCTAGAAATTCAGCTCAGAGGTTAAGAGCACTGGATGCTCAAGGTCCTGAGTTTAATTCCCAGCAACCACATGGTGGCTCTCAGCCATCTATAATGAGACCTGATGCCCTCTTCTGGCATGCAGGCATATATGTAGGCAGAACAGTATGCACATAATAAATAAATAAATCTTTAAGAAAGAAGGAAGGAAGGAAGGAAGGAAGGAAGGAAGGAAGGAAGGAAAGAAGGAAGGAAGGAAGGAAGGAATTCAGCTCAGTTGGTATGGTACTTGCCTAGCATGAATGAAACCCTGGGTTCAATCTCCAGCACTGAACAAAAAATGCATGGTGGTACACACCTGTAATTCCAGCACTCAGTTAAGTGGAGGCAGGAGGATCTGAAGTTCTAGGTCATTCTCTGCCATATATCAAGTTTGAAGTTAGTGTGTGATGCGTAAGAACTTGGAAAGAAAGCAAAAGAAAAGGAAGAAAGGAGGAAGGTAGTCGGGAGGGAGGAGGGGGAGAAAAGGGAGCTCCTAAGAAGTGGAAAACTGGACTCTAAATGGTTTCATAGTAATATATTCAAAATAATTCATTACTATTTATTCATTTACTGCCTGAGCTAATGATATAACCCCAAGCTGGCACAGTGGGACATCATTGTAATGCTGGTATTTAGGAGGTAGAAGCAGGATACTTTTAAGTTCAAGCTACTCACAGGAAGCCTGATTCCAAAATAACACCTAGCTTTCTTAATTTCTGTATTATTCAGACAGGTCAACAAATACACAATTTACTTTGCAACTTTTGAGACATGGTCTCCATGTAACTCAGGCTGGCCTCCAACTCACTATGTAGTTGAGAATGGCCTTGAATTGTTTTTTGTTTTTTTAAGATTTGTTATTTTACTTTTTTAAGTGCGTGCGTGTGCGTGCATGCACCTGAGTGCAGATGCTTTTAGAGGTCAGAGGCATCAGAACCACTAGAGCTAGAGTTAGCATTACAGATGGTTGTGAGCCACCTGATGTAGGTGCTGAAAACTGAACTTCAGTTCTCTGCAAGAGTAGTATGTGTTCTTAACTGCTGAGCCATCTCTCTAGCCCTCTTTTTTTTTTTTTTTTTTTTTTTTTTTTTTTTTTGGTTGTTTTTGAAACAGGGCTTCTCTGGCTGTCCAGAAACTCACTTTGTGGACCAGGCTGGCCTCAAACTCACAGAGATCTGCCTGCCTCTGCCTCCCAAGTGCTGGGATTAAAGGCATGCACCACCACTGCCTGGCTCCTTTCTAAATCTTTCTTTCCTTCTTTCTTTCTCTCTGTATTTATTTATTGTGCATGTAGGGTTATTGACAATTTGGAATGGTTGCAATCCATCCATGTTTTAAAATAAGATTTATTTATTTATTATGTATACAGTGTTCTGCCTGCATGTGTGCCTGCAGGCCAGAAAAGGGCACCAGATCTCATTACAGATGGTAGTGAACCACCATGTGGTTGCTGGGAATCGAACTCAGGACCTCTGGAACAGCATCCAGTGCTCTTAACCTCTGAGCCATCATCCCTCCAGCCCAATTTACTTGTGTTTTGTTTTTTGTTTTCGGAGACAGGGTTTCTCTGTGACTTTGGAGGCTGTCCTGGAACTAGCCCTTGTAGACCAGGCTGGTCTCGAAATCACAAAGATTCTCCTGTCTCTGCCTCCCGAGTGCTGGGATTAAAGACGTGTGCCATCACCACCCGGCTTAACAAGTGTTTTGCCTGCATATATATATGTGTATCACATACGTATCTGTGTCCACAGAGGCAACAAGAGGGTGTCAAATCCCCTGGAAAAGTTTTAAGTCATGTGTGGGAATCTAACCGGGACCTCTAAAGCACTGAGCCATCTAGTCCAAAGATTTACCTTCATATTAAAAAATTATGTGTATGTGTGTGTGTTGTGTGTAGGTATGGGCATGTGAGTGCAGATGCCTGAGGGGGCTGGAAGAATTGGATGCCCTTTGAGGGGGAAGTTCAGGCAATTGCCATCCATCTGACGAAGTTGCTGGGAATTTAACTCAGATCTTCTGGAAGAGCAGTACATGCTTCCAACCACTAAGCCATCCATCTCATCACTGGTTATCCCATCCCCCTGAATTGTTGATCCTTTCACCACCACCTCTCAGGAGCTGGGATTACAAGTGTGAATAACAACACTCAGTTTTCACTTAGGAACTTTCAAATGACTAGATCCAAAACCACAAAAAATGACTTAGCTAGGCAGCCACTCCCAAAGCACTTGAGAAAAATGTGGTCACAAAACAGACACAAATGTACATAGGATTATTTACAAGCTGCCTTGTATTTATACAAACCAAAGGATAAACAGCCAACTGTGTTTGCCTACACCTATAGATCTACTATTTTCAGGCAAGAGGCAAAGTGATCTGATGAGGTTTGGTAGCAAGTCAAAAGACTACACATGACTTGAGAGGCACCTGGCAAAGCCATGCCAACCTATAGTTGACCAGTGACTTCATTTGACAAATGTTTACACTAAAAAGATTACCGCAGCATTATCTGTGATAAAATAATGTATCTACTAGTCAGTGAACAGTTAAATAATATAAAAATATTACAGTTACTTGAATTTTGAAAGGTTTTTAACAACATAAAAATGCTCACAGGCCAGTAGATCTCTGTGAATTCAAGACCAGCCTGTTTTACAGAGTTAGTTCCAGGACAGCAAGGTTACACAGAAAAACCCTGTCTCAGAAACAAAACAGCAACAACAAAACCAAAAACCAAAGCCAAACAAACAAACTAAAAAGAAAAAACAATTTAGAGCAAGCACAAGGAAGGTATTAGATAAGCTTTGAAAGGCCCAGGATGGTGGAGGCCAGAGAGGGATATATAGTGAGACACTATCTAAAAACAAACCACCAAACAAAAAGGACAAGCTTTAAGTATCACGTGCCAAAGAATAAGGAAATAAAGAATGTTGGGGTCACACCAAAAGGATACAAGCCAGTTTGAAGGAGCTTCCACCAATCTATATAATTTTAATATCATGATAAACTATTCATTCATTGAGTAAGATAGGAAAGCAGGAGTCCATGCTGCTATAAATGAATCCCTCAATGGTATAAGTACAAGGAAGGGGAATCTCTTCATTAGAGTGGAATGCAAATTATTAAATAGAGAAGAGATAATTCATTCCCCTTTTCTACTCCCTTCTTCAATGGGAACTCACTATGCAGCCCTGACTGGTCTAAAACTTGTTATATAGACCAGGCTATTCTTGAACTCACAGAGACACAATTGGCTCTGCCTTCCAAATGAAGGGGGAAAGATGCATGTCACAGCAGAAGAAATTATTCTTTAAAAAAAAAAAAAGTGGCTATGTGATTGTAAACACCTGTAATCCCCTCACTTGGTAGAATAAGGGATTAGGACAAGTTTGTCTTGAGTTTAAAGCCAGTATGGACAACAGAGTTCCTATCCAGCTTGAGCTAAGAATCTCAACAAATCAAAATAAATTAAAAACAAAACAAAAAAGTAATCAAATAAAGCAAGGCATTATAGCACATATCTTTAAACCCAGCACTTGGGATTAAAAGCAGGCAGATCTCTATGAGTTCTAGTCAGCCTGGGCTACATAGTGAGACCCTGTCTTAAAACAAACAATAATGAAGTGCTATCTCTGGAAAACAATGAGCCCCATACTTCCCCTCTATATATCCTATCATTTCAGCTTTGTGAACACATACTTCTTTTATAAGAAGAATCTGTAATCTCCAACAGCAGCTTTCACAAACACAACAGAAGCTACACTCGCCCTCACTGAGTGCTGCACAGAGAGCATATGCACACAGCACATACAGAGCACTGACTGTGGTATGGAGGAGCTCAGATGACTCAGGCAGGTGGACTAATGCTGAGACAAAACAAAACAAAACAAATCACTAAGTGGCAATGTTGATATCTGTGGAAATTTTGATTTGACTTTATAGTAATCATGGTAGTAAACACAGGGCAAAGACCTCGTCCCAGTGCCAACGACTGATTAAAAAAAGAGGACAATAGTCTGTAGAACTGGTCAATACCGGGCTCTCATGAAGCCACTTGAGACATACAAGTAATCTACTGCTCACCTGGCATCATCATTCATTGCAGTGTGGTCAATAGGTGCCATGAAACTCAGGAGCTTGCTGAGGACATGAAACCTAAAGAAAGAAAGAAAACAGACAGCAACATTAGTAATCATTATCTCAGCAAAGAAAACATTCTACCAGTTGAACTCCATGACTGATCCCATGGACGTGGGTTCCAGAGTGGAGTTGGGGAAGTTCACAGGCACTTCAACTCTATTCTCTGTTTCACCGTCTGGTAATAGAATAGTGAAAACAACAGTTCAACATAGACAGACACATTTAGATCACAGATAAATAGGTGGGGGGAAAAAGATACACTTGTGCCTTTGAGCATGCATAAATCTTGAAACAACATTCCAGATAAAAGTCGATGAGGACCCAACTATCTTAGTGTCTTCCTCTGTGTGCACCTTAGTTTTCAGTGCCATCAAGTCACCTACTAGCAAGAAGACTGGCAAGAGAACAGGCAATGCCAACACTGTCACTCACTGGTACTGTTTCACCAAGCCAGGAAAGACTCCTACAACCCCATCATCTCCACAGGAACTCTGCTGGGCCTTTCACAGCTAAGTTCTGAAGAAGCACAGCTAAGTTCTGAACAATTTGGAGGTCAATTTTTAGCTTGAGATGTCATGAAATTTAAGCTGCCGAAACACCTGTACTTCCTGCCAATATATAAAAGATATTTTGTGTGCAGTCCTTTGAAATTTCCAAGTAAAATGAAGTAACTATACCACTTAATAGAAGTCAAATTGCTTCTAAACTACCAATAATAAATATCTACATCCTTCTCAATTAAAAATGCCTCTAAAAAAATTAGACCTATCATCAGGAGGATCTGAGTTTGAGGCCAGCCTGGTCTAACAACAGCGCTCAGAGAAGCACAAAAGCAGCATATTTCAAAAAAGTGGGAAAATTCTAACAATTTAGGCTGAAATGTAAGCAAAGTGGCACCTCCTGAAGCAACATTTCCTGGTGAATCTTGTTAAATCCCAAACAAGGTAAAGTGATTATGAAATCTGCTTTTGTGAAGTTTGTTTTCTTCCTCATCTCAACAGGGTTTTGCTAGTAGCCCAGGCTGGCTTCCAACTTACAATACTCTTGACTGCACTTCCTAAGTGCTGAGGTTAAAGGCATGCATCATATGAAGACATTGAAAAGTGAGACAGATCCATATTTATGTAAAGGAAATCTAATAAGAGAGGCTCTCTAGTGATGTAGGATTAGTTATTTGTCTAAAATTATATATATACACATATATATGTATGTATGTATGTGTGTGTGTGTGTAGATATGTGCACATATATATAAGACTAAATATATGGTTTTTTTTGTCATGCACCTGAACTAATAGCTGATGTTTTGTCAGATGATATTACTCTACTCTTGCCCTAGGCTATAAATCTAAAAGTCAAGCAATGTCAGTTTCTACTCTCTTGCTGTCTTGTATCCATATCTTTCTTTTTTTAAAACATATTTCTATTATTATTTATGTATGTGTACATGTGTACATCTATGTGAGCTCAGAGGGGCATCAGATCCCCTGGAGCTGTCAGATACAGGTGCTGGGAATCAAACTTGTCTTGTGCAAGAGGAGTGTGTGCTCTTTCTTAACCACTGAACCATCTCTCCAGCCCTGTCTGTACCTTCCTTTAGACTTTCATATGTCAAAAATACTTATTTTTTTCCCATAAAAATTATAAACTTCGTCTCAAGGAAGTACATGGTTAACATTTTTGAAGTCTTTCACTTTTGTCTTTTTAAAGCTAAAATAATCATCTTCCTTAGTTATTTCTTTCAGGGAAACATTAACTGATTTTTATATACCCATTGACAACAATAGAACAAACATTCAATAAATTGTATTTCCCTTTTAGAGAAAGAAAATAGGGTCATAAAAACACCTGCACATCATTTTGTTATGTTTATCATTCATAAATACAGAATTGTGAGCAATGGGTGTGGCAGCAAATGCCAGAATATTAACACTCAAGAGGCTCAGGCAAGAGCGCTTTTCTTTCAAGGTCTAAAAAAAAAAACAACAAAATCAAGACTAAAATAGTCAGGAGAAAGAAAGACAGGACAATCAAAATAAAAGAGAAACAACAGACACACCTTGTTCATTTGCTTCCCACAAACTTACCGAAGCTTCCTTCCTTTACTGGCTTTTCTATCTACCTTCTTTCGGATCTTGCTTCGTAATTTCTGGATTGCAAGCCACTGCCTGGGAAATTCACAAGCCATGTTATGCATCATCACCCACAGAAACAGTTATGGATATTGACAAATTGGAATTTTTCTCACTAACAACCCTGCAGAAAGAAATCACCAACCTACATCAAATTCCTCAAGATAGTCTTAGGCCAAAGTGACTAATCAATTGGAGAGGATTTGTGCAATGGTAAAAAAAACAAATGGCAGCTGGGAAATTCTACAGCAAATCTGGTTAACAATGCTCCTCAGTATGTGGAGTTGCTGTGACAAGCACTCAATCTGCCGGTCTGCAGAAAAGCCCACAGAGCGTAAGCCACTTGGCTCAATACTGCAAGTGCTGGTTGGTCTGAAAGCATCAATTCATTTTTATTTATATTCTCATCACTCTCCCCTCTCTTATGGTTTCTTGAGACCGAGCCTCTCTATGTAGCCCTGGTTCTCCTTGAATTTACTTCTTCCTCCCAAGTGCTGAGGTTAAAGACACCACCACCATGCTTGCCTTAATTCTCTGACTCTTATCTTCCCTTTTCTAAAATTCAACATTTTTACTTCTCCTTTCTAATTAAAAAAATGTACACTTATTTATTTATCTGGGTGGGTGTGTACTCATTTATGCATGCTCACACATACTACAACACATGTACAGAGGTCAGAGGACAACTTATGGGAGTTTCCTTTCACCTTGTGGATTCTGAGAACCAAACCTGGGTCATCTGCAAGAGTAGCAACTCAGATCATCAGACTTGGCAGCAAGTGCCTTTACCTACTGAGTCATTTTACCAGTTCTCCTAGTTGTTTTTTTTTTAAGATTTATTTTATGTATATTAGTGTTTTGCTTGCATGTATGTATGTGGACCACCTGTGTGTCCAGTGCTCATGGAGGTGAGAAAAGGCTGTCCGATCACTGGAACTGCAGTTACAGTTGGATGTGAGATACCATGTGGCTGCTAGGAACCCAACCCTGGCATAAGCGAGAACTACAAGTGTTCTTAACTGCTAATCCACTTGGCCAGTCCCTACCTTCTAATTTTTAATAATTATCCACTAGCCTTATAGTTGTTTAATTTGTATTCTCTCTGTATATAGCAATATTTATATTCTATCTAGAATACTTAAGCTTGTGTTAATAAAAAGTAAAGACTCTTCTTCCCCTTCCTCAATATAATCTCTTTTATTTTTACTTTTTAAGACAGGCAGACTAGGTTGACCTCACACTCACAAAGATTTTCCTGCCTCTGTCTCCTGGGTGCTGGGATTAAAGGTATGTGCCACCACCTAGCCTCAATATAATTTTAGTATCATTATTACACCTTAAAAAAAATCCAAGGAACCTTAAACAATACATAATATTTACTCTCAAATACTCATCAGTCTCAAGCGCCCTATATTGTCTCTTTTTCATAGCTGTTTTATGTGGATCAAGGTCTACACAGGATTCACACATTTGTGGCCATCTTAAGTGTCTCCTGGGAACTTAATTTTTCAAATAAGGGATTTGAAAGCAAGCTAGAAAAATGTCCACAAATTGTACCTGTGAACAAATGCAAAAGGGAAATTGCAGTAACAGCTAGTCATCTTACCTGACTTATACAAGGAAAACAACACGAGGGAGGAGGGGGGAAATCTAGGGAAATCCAATTACTGTAATCTTAATATAATCTTAATTACCATAATCTATTTTATTGTAAAGTTAGATAAATGTACAATATAATCACCACTTAAATACAATTTGCTCTATCACATTAACTATATGGTATATGCCCCTACAACATCCCAAAGATACAGAAAGTATCGACAATATGCTGTCTCAAAATTCAAATAAAATTCGATTCAAAATTACTCCATCAAAGCTAATTTTTTATTGCCTACTCAAAATGCTGCTCTGCCCAGAATCTCATTCTGATATTCGCAGCTTTTGTTTCTTTTCACGCTTTTGCGAATTATGGCTCATGGTTATTTAAATGCACACCACTCATTAGGCAGCACTCTAAATGCCCTTCTTATTTTCAAACCACAGGATAAAGCATAGGAACAAGAGTCTTCCTTCACTACTTTACATTCTACACTGACATCTGGTAATGCTGCCACATTCCATTTCCAATTGAGCTGAAGCTGCTACTGAAGGGGTGGTGGTCTACAACAGGACAAATTAACAAAGCAGATTCAACTGAGCCAGGAACCTGTTGCACACACTACCCATTCTGACAGCTGAGAGCACAGGTTTAAATAGAAGCCTTTATACACTGGTCAACAGTCGCTATGGATATAAACACAACCCACACTAAGGATAAAGAGCATAAGAAAGACTGATAATTATTGGACCAGTCACTGCCTTGGTGGAAGAATTAAGAGTGCTCAGTGGGATAAACTACTACACAGGCAGCTTGAATGAACAGAAAACCATATTTAAGTTACCTTCCCATGGCAACCTGATCATTTGGATCCAAGGAGCTGGTCTTCCTCTCTATGAGTTCTCGAAGGAGCTAAGGAAAAAGGATAGCAATTGAGTTATTATCATCTCTCAGCAGCAACTGGCTTAAAAAGGCACAGAAGAAATTCTGAAAGGCATAGTGACCACTCTTAAGCTACAACCAATAAGGGAGAATTTTCATTAGCCCTTTTACATTTAGTTTTCAAAGATAACTACTGCAATAGCTGAGAACAGATGTCCATTTGGATGACTTTATGGTACTATGTGGGAACACCAGACCTTGAGCAGAGACCCACTTCCCCTTCTGCCTGGGAGTAGGCAGCTATAAGACAATGTTTAGTAAAAACATGTTTACTAAAAACGATACAATAAGTTCCTGGCCACTTCCCCTTCTGCCTGGGAGTAGGCAGCTGTAAGACAATGTTTAGTAAAAACCTGTTTACTAAAAATGATACAATAAGTTCCTGGGAAAGGCCTTCCCACGGAAACCGCCCTGACCTCGACCTTGTCCAGAGACTAACCGCACCTTCAAAAACCCACACACATCCACCTCTGGTGTCAGAGCAGAACCAGCCAGGGTAGAGGAGGGAGCAGAAGCTTCTCTGGTGGGAGCTTTTCTTAGGAAGTTTTTCTTGAACCTTTTTGGAGCCTGTTTAAAGTTTTCTTTATATCATTGAACGAGTCTCTGTGTTTTCAATACCCGACACCCTCCGCACGTTCTCGGACACAGGCCGCGCAGCAGACGTGACAATTGGAGGTTCCACCGAGATACTACTCTGGATACTAGGAATGCTCACCGTGATAAAGATCCAACCATTGCTGAACACTCAGGTAAGGGAAATATGGGCGTTGGTGAGGATTCCCCCCCCATGTTGATGCCAGTTAGTCATTCCAGCTCCCTGTTCATCCATTTTATAACACCAATAATACATTGGAAGCGGCTGCTGCCAATGAGATTAAAAAGTCAGAAACTAGACATTCTGAGTTTCCCCCTCCTAAGCCTGATACCAGGGTCAGGAAGTAGGGGAATCCAAGAGATTCCCAGCGGCATACGCTTTTAATCCCAACACACCTTTATGCAAGTTCCAGGACAGCCTCCAAACAATACAGAGAAACCCTGACTCAAAAAAAAAAAATTTTTTTTTTGGTAACAGTAAAGAGGTACTGGTATTAAGTAAAAAAAAAAAAAAAAAAGACAAAGACAAAGGTATATGGAATGGAAAATTTTGTTTACATTTAAGTTCTATTTTGTGAGTCATCTCTAAAAACTTTTGGCCAAAAGCCTGGCCTCTCTACCTTGCATCTACAGAGTTACAAGGAGTAGGTACGGCTGTACCCCATGACTGTAGCTCAAATGGAGGAATGATAAAAACATATAGGACTTTTTAACCTTTTTAGTTCAAGGATTGGCTGGAGTTGTTCTTTTACATAGATTTCAATTAAGGAAACTTCATTGCAACAGACTAATCATGACCTAGGGAAAAAGGATGACTAAAAGATGCATGTATGTTCTGAATGTATGGTGTGGCCACACCGGTATGTATGAAATGTGATTGTGAATGCGTGAGTGTGAACTGATTATATGATTAAAAGGATACTTAAATCCCTTCAAAAATAATTAAGAAGCTACCTAGATTGCGTTAAATATAGCCAAAAGGAACATCCAGCCAGTCTGTTAATGTTTTAACAGAAAAATTTAAGATACAAGTGAGGCCTTGTCAGCTAGTGAGAGTTCTACAGGTTAGATTGGGAAAGACTGCTCACAGACTTCAAATAATTTTCAAAAGTTATTTAGTAAGCCCAATTTACCTAGATAGTTAACCAAGGAGGGTAGACAAATCCTTCTACTGTTATGGTCCAGCTTCAACAGTTCAAAAAAGAAAACTTTTTTTAGAAAATAAAAAAGGGGGAATAATGCCCCCAGTCCCCACATGACTCATCAAATAATACACTCCTCATTTAAAAATTTTATAATGTGAATGCCAGTGAGCTTCAGACAGATTCTGGCATGATGGAACTTGAGCAACCATTGCTCAGGTCAAATGGAGACATCCATACACTAGACAGTGGAGAAGACCCTAATTTGGGGTCGAGGGCATGTTTGTGTTTTCTTGCAGGAAAAGAATAAAGCTTCGGCAACTGTCAGACCATTTAGTGAGATGCATGGAGCAGAGAAAAACTGGACCTGAGACCATGGGAGCCTACCTAAGCCAGTTTGAGTGAGATCTCCTAAATCAGTGTTCCTGATCCTTGATGTCATCAAATCTAGAGCCCAAGAAAGAAAGAAAACAGTCAGTTCGAGATTTCCAGTTTCTCAACAGACCTGCTACATCAACTTTCCGGACCCATGAATTTTCATCGTGAAGCCAACAGAGAAAAAAGGACCCAGTTAAAGCATTTGGACATTGGTATGGACTATGAGTGGCAAAAGCTTCTTTTCAGTATTTGAACAGGACATGGTCACTTAAAATATCAGACTTGGTGGTTCCTGTTTCTGGAATCACGACTAGGCCAGTGTATTTTTCTGGAGAAATGCAACTTGTCCTAATGCGACAACTATTGTTCATATTTTTCGTAATGCTACATGTGTAACATCAATGATTGTGCCCAATGTATCTGTGCAAGTGCACTTTCTAAATGCTTTCCTGAGCAGATCTTGAAACGATTGGAAACTTTATCAAATTGTAAATGTAAATCACATGCGGGTTACCCTTGTAACAGATGAAGGCTGGTAGAATGTTATGGCCCAGATCTGGTGATGGGTATGGTGATGGAGAGGCGCTATGTCAATGGGGGTCCTGGAAATGGTGGCAGTGGCGGTAGGCATTCTGGCTTTATGCCAAGCTCAAACGTGCCTTGTTCCAGAGACAAGAGATCCGTAACCAAGTATTGCTTAGCTTAGCCCATGGCAATCCCGATAGCCATGAAGGTTGGTTACAGATGATTTAAGGTTGGGGTATCTCCGATGACGGGCAACCTGTGGGGAAGACCCCTCCCACCTAAAACAGGGGTTCAAGGTCCCCCAAAGACGGGAAAGGGAGGGTGACCCTACTTGACCTAAGCCAGGAGTGCCTCATTTGAAAATAAAAAGGGGTGAATTGTGGGAACACCAGACCTTGAGCAGAGACCCACTTCCCCTTCTGCCTGGGAGTAGGCAGCTATAAGACAATGTTTAGTAAAAACATGTTTACTAAAAACGATACAATAAGTTCCTGGCCACTTCCCCTTCTGCCTGGGAGTAGGCAGCTGTAAGACAATGTTTAGTAAAAACCTGTTTACTAAAAATGATACAATAAGTTCCTGGGAAAGGCCTTCCCACGGAAACCGCCCTGACCTCGACCTTGTCCAGAGACTAACCGCACCTTCAAAAACCCACACACATCCACCTCTGGTGTCAGAGCAGAACCAGCCAGGGTAGAGGAGGGAGCAGAAGCTTCTCTGGTGGGAGCTTTTCTTAGGAAGTTTTTCTTGAACCTTTTTGGAGCCTGTTTAAAGTTTTCTTTATATCATTGAACGAGTCTCTGTGTTTTCAATACCCGACACCCTCCGCACGTTCTCGGACACAGGCCGCGCAGCAGACGTGACAGTACTACCATTTTGTTTCAAATGAATCAAAGAATGTACAACATTCCTTTCACTACTTTCATAACCAGTTTTGCCTGTGCCATCAACAAAGGGTACTTTTTAAAAGGCCAGATGGGAAGGGCTGTGGACAGAAAGGGAAATGCATCAGCTTCCAACCAAAGGAATGATGGTGCAAAGTTAACTTCAGAACTATAACTCCAGCAACCAGAAAGCCTTCCCTGAATGAAAGTCTTGACTGTCAATAATGAGGAGTGTGGACTTCATCCTCTTGCTTATAATCATGCTCTACCATGCTGGTGGTACCAACTGACTTAATCAGACATGACACAAACAATACACACTGCCACCAAAGTTTTGAGGAACCAAAAAGAAGTTATTTGTGTTCACTCCAAGTATAATAGAGAGTGGATCTCTATCCTCTCTGATTACTCCATGGGGGTTCTAACATTATTCTTCCATTTTCTTCTTAATCCTGGTACTCCACTGCATCCAATAAAAAATCTCCATCTATACCTTTCACACACTTAGGAATTTGCACAGGACCTTAGAATCCTCAGTGTAAAGGTGTGATGGCATTTAAACATTAAAAGGGAAGAATTTTAAGTTGCAAATAATCAAATTTGGTGTCATCCCTCATATATAAGTGCTACAAGCAGAGAAATGACAACAGAAATTAAGTTTCCAGACATCTCACAGAAATCTAAAATAAACTACTTCCTGATAAACACTCATCAATATAGGTTTGCCTTTAAAAGTTGTTCTTCACAAAAACAAGCAATTATTTTGTAGGGAAGGCATAGTAGTAATACAGATATCTTACCAAATTAAATAGCTGAAGCCTGCGCCAGGATGGAGAAGAAATAAATTCCTATGAAAGTAGTTTGCTTTCTAATTTTCATTTGTGCACATAGGTAGACACTGAAGAAGTAAAATGTATAAAAGCAGTTTTACTGCACAAAGGAAAGGCTATCTCAGTCGCAATTAAAAATCCTCCTGTGAAATTTTCTCATTTGCTTATTTTGGGCATTATTACCACAGCAATTACCTTTAAAAATGCAGGGACCAGAGGCCACTGGTTTATTATCACCAGAAAACAGCAAGCTATTTCTCTACCCTGCTTATCTGATTGATTCCCAACATCTTCCTGGCAGCCAATCTATCAGTTTATCTCTCCTACTTCATCACAGTCACTTCTGGCAGCTAAATACAAGATCCAAATCCAGTGCTACACAGACACACGACATGGTAAACCTGTGTAACGTGGTTGCTGAGTAAACAGCTGCCCTAGGGCTCAGCGCAAATGGGTTCTACTTCCTAGTCATTGTTCTGTAAGAAGCAAGGTTGGAGAATGGGTGAGAGGAGAGGTTAATAATAATTTTTTAATGAAGAGAAAATACTGAAATGACTGCATTTTACTGCCCCTTCCTTGTTCTAGTCACGTAAGAGATTACAACCACCATTCCTGGT